TAAGTACTAAGATTTCTAATAAATAAAAAAGCAAGGTGCTCATTATTAGCCAATTCTTAGAATTAATCCCATTCTCAACTTATGGGACTCCTGACCCATTTTATTATGTCTGATGATAGCCATCAACATGGATTGATTATAGCAGCTATAACCTATTCATAAACTAATTGAAACCTTTTATATTGGTATCGTTAATTTATTAACGCATTAGCATTTAATATTTCGATTGATGATGGCATACAAATTTTGTTGTCATCGCATTAGTTGCTCAATTGCTGTTGTTGGCCAGAGACTGAATGGTAGGATGAATAGGGACGCCACGGCAACGCGACGCTTAAGCACACATATACTTGCTCCCTTCCTCTCCCTCTCCCTCCAACGTTTTCGTTTCCTAGTCTGAGAGTCTCACTGTGTGCTTTCGCTCCTTGTTTTATGCTTGTTGGTATATGCTCTCGGTATTTGTTTATGCGCTCAACAGGCTTGAAGGTGGTCCATGAAATGGCCGATAAAAGCTTGGCATAAAAATATGAATTTTATGGCTGTGTATTTAAAACGACAATAAGCACACGCAAATAACATTCACATACATACAGACAGACAGACAGACAGGCAGAAAGGCAGACAGACAAACGGATAGGCAGAATAAGAGGCGAGTCAAGCATTGGCTTCCGTGCAGGATGAGATTGAGAATGAGGATAGAGGCTGGAGATAACGTTGAGGCGAAGAGAGGCTGAGACTGGGACTGAAGCTCAAGTCCAGGCAATCAAAACAAAAACTCTAAAGCAACAACAACAATAAATGCGCCCGCGTTCAATGAAGCTGAAGAGCAACAAACCCACTAAAGAAAACACAAAGAACAGTGCAGAGAACAGAATACACCGAGAAATGAAATTGGAAAATGAAATGGAAAAAACTTCAACTGTGTGTGTGTGTGTGTGTGTGTGTGTAGGTGCTGGTGTGTTGTTGTTGGCATTTGTTTTGTTCTTATAGTTATGCCTATATTGTTGATGCCGCTGGTTTGTGCGTGCAGGTAACGATTTTGTTCGGCTTGCGTGGCGCTTGGCAGCTGCTGTACATGAAAATGAGTTTTTCTTTTTATGCGCTCGCAAAAATGAAAATGGAAATAAAAATAAAATCAGCGCAATAAGCAAGCCATGAAAACGAACATGCGACTGCCGAGCACACACACACACACACACCCACATACACGTATATAGTATGTGTGTGAATCGAAGTGTATTGGTGCGCTAAGCACATACAGATAAGCAATCATAAATATTAATGCTAAATACTTCGTGAGCCGTGAGCTGTGAGCTGTGAGCACCGGACCGGACAGCCGGGATGTGCGTGTTATTGCCTAATGAAATGGCAAATGCTGGCCAGGAGGTGCTGCGCCTACTCCAGCTGCAGCACCCGGTCCAAGCAGCCCAAGAAGCCAAAGTTGCTCAGCCGTTGGCCATAAAGATAACGTGTTATCGCCGGTCCAGACAAGCAAGAACTGGTTGGGCTTGACTTGTTGGTCAACCAACAATTCGAAAGCGGAGCCTACTTCAATTGTTGAGACTAAGAAGCAAGGAGATGCACTACAAGAGCTAAAATAATTGAGGTTTATACATACATTGTTAGAAGGAATTCATCAGGAAATCGTTATACCCTGACAATTGGATTTTGGAGGCAAATTTCAAATTAATTTAATCAATTTAATCTTGTCTGATCACAAAGCATATGTAGTCTTATTATCCAAGCGTGCGGTGCACTACTAGCTTATACCATACAGCTTTTAAAAATATGCTTACAATTTCTCTCGCAATGCCTTACTATATTCTTAAGTTTCTCATCACTTCGGTGCTTTAACATATACGTACATACTTATTTCCCATGAGAACGATTGGCGAAAAAGTCACTCTAACGTAGTAATGCTTTTATATTATTATTAATTAATTTGTTTATGGATAAACAGAAATTATAAAAATATCTAATAATGAATTCGACTTGGTGGGGGAATCCTATACGGCCCGATTCAAAGTCAGAGACGTTTTTAGAACTAACTAAAAAAAAAAAAAGAAATGGAGATGAAGAAACGGCAATAATAAACAAAAGCAAGTATAATTAAATTAAAATAATAATAAATTAAAATAAAAATACTTAAATAATAAGAGATAAATATAATTAAAAGCAAAATGTAAGGTGGATAATGTCTTCCCGGTGGGGGAAGGTTTATTTGCCAGTCCGGGAAGCTATGCCCCTACTTACAATAAAGCCAATTTAAGTTGAAGGACTGTGGAGATGGGACGGGTGCAGGGGCTACAAGAGCCGGACTCGCTTGATTCTAGCGCTCTATTCTATTTGGCCGTGTAGTGAGTGTGGAGCAAATGTGCCAAACGCTAATAGACTATAAAGTAAATGCTGTGAAAATGGACACCTTTCTTACGTGTCCTGGCAGCTTACACAGCAGTCCAGCTGCTTGAAATGTTGTCTCCATGTCTGGATCAGTTGAAAATCTGAAATATCTTATCATTGAAACCAATTGATTTTCCTCTCATTCAAGATGACGGATTTCAGAACTCATCGATACGGAATGTTAATTACTAAATCTGTTAAATATTAGTGCAGCCAAGTATTAAGTCTTGGAATGAGTCGAGCAAGTTGACGCCTTTTTGGCATTTAAAATGCAAAATTTTTTTTTGGCAAAGTTGTCGAGTTTAGTCTCAGTCTCGGGTTAGAGAGCTGTGTGCTGCTCAACTATTTATGCTAATGCGGCGACCGTTGCTGGCGCGATAAACAAGAGCTGGAGCATAAATCTCAGTTTGCCAAAGCTCTTCCACCACTCTCTAGCTCTCAGTCTGTGCTTATGTCTATCAGCTGTGGCGACGGCGCGGCGTCTCCTTTTTTGATTTATTTGCATTTTTCATATTTACAACAGCGTGTCCAATGTGGCGTATGCGTAATATTCGTGCTACGGCCTTAAAAGGGTAAGAAGAGGCGGCACAGGAGCAAGAGAACCGGGAGCTGCTGGATCTGTGGCAGCTATCAATGGCAAAACAATGCCAGTGGTGCGGGACTTGATTTTGCATTTAAAAGTGAATTATACAAATTTTCGGCAAGTTGAAACGTACACATAAAATATATTTGCATAAACAAACACAACAAACACACATCCACGCGAGCACACGAACACAAATAATTCAAGAGACAGACAGGCAGGCCACATGGCCTGAACCGTATTTGGGAAACTGGGCTTTGGAATGCCAGCAAAACTAAAAACAAGAATATTAACAGCAACGACAGCAGCATCGCAAACAAAAACAGCTCAGATAATCAGTTATAAAGCTGCGCAAATATAAATATACATTTAATTTGCACAGTGGGCCAATTTATCATTGCACGTATACACACGCCCATCTGGTCGATCTAAGAGCGATAATGCGAAATGCATAAAAGATATATTTATAATATATATTATATTTATATTATATTTATAATCAAAGCTTAAAAGTTTAAAATGTTCTGCATAAACAGCAGTATTTTTGAACACCTTAATGTAAAGTAAAGATATTACAAAGCCTTCCAGGACCAATTCTGACATGTAGGCAATTAATTTGTAATAACTAATTAAAACTAATACATTCGCAAGGTTAGAAATATTGCTGCTAAGTATGTAAATAAGTAATTAAATTTAAATAAATTTAAATAAATTAATAAATATATAAAATATATTTGTATAATCAAAGCTTAAAAGTTGAAATCCTTCTGCCTTAACAGTACTATTTTTCAACTCCCTAAGCTTTAAAAATAAGGATATTACAAAGCCTTCCAATATAATTTCGCTCATGTGGCTCGACATTCTATTAACTAATTACAACTAATAGATTCTAAAGCATAGAAACCTTGCTCCTCAATATGTGAAGTAATTGCTTCTATTACGTGTAGCAAGGACCAAAATATATTTACTATATCGGTTGCTTTATACTTATTCACTTAAAGTTTGAGTCAAAATTGTAAAAGTTTGTAGTCGACCGAATATCAACTCGAAAATGCTTTCCAATAACAAAATGTTTACTTCCAAACTGTTTCTAGTTGCATTTATAAAAAACAGTTGATGAACCTAGACGATGGGATTGCAAGCACAATTTGTGCCATCTATAAAACTTGTGTTCCATTTCGAAATTAATCTGAACATTCCAATGCATTCAAAATGAAAAAAAAAAAAAATATGCCAAAATATTCTTTTATTTCGACAAAAGTTATAGCTCTTGATTAGCCTATATTTGGTGCTGGGGTCGATGTTGGGCAATTGTGTGTTTTTAAGTTAATTAAAAAAAAAACAAAAAAAAAACAATGCATTCACATGCAACAAAAACAGAAGTCGCTTTCAAGGTGAACAGTTCAAACAATGATTTCAGCGAAACCTGAAAGAATATTGTAATGCAAATGTTATGCATTAATAATGTTATTGATTTCATTCAAAAATATAAAACAGTTTATTTTTTATTTAATTTATCCACTGTCAGTTTTCTGAAGTTATTTAAATATAAACTGAGATTCAAAAAAATGAAGTCAATACATCATGTCTCTCAATTAATAAAAAGTGCAACAGAAATGTTCAAAACACTTGTTCGACTTTGCTTTTCAATATTTCAAAATGTGTTATGATAAATGTAAAAGTTTCCCACATTAGTTAAATTGGGTAAATTCCCTATTAAACTTTGATAAAACAACAAACTTTTATAGACTTTTAATTTTTTGATGTAAAGCCAAATGTGGTCAGATACGTAAATAGCCATAATGAACAAAGATAATAAAACAACAACGATTAACTTATTATTAATTGATAATACATTTACTTGAGTCTTGTTGCTGTTATATTGGTTGCTCTTATATGGGTCTAAATAGAAGAGTAGTCGTTTAATTTTTAATATTTGTGCAAAATGCTAAACTTGTAATATGAATTTAGTTGTTTTTGTGTAGCTAAAAGGTTTTTTTGTTATTAATACGCTAAAATGGAACTAAAGTAAGTCAACAACTAATGCAAACTAAATTATAAATTATATGTTGGTTTTAAAAACATACTCAAGCTGTTAAATATTCTCAAATATTTGACTTTGGATATAATATACAAAGATACTTAGTATGAATTCCCCATTGGTAAGAATTATTGTTGTCGAAAGTGTTCATCAAATGTAAGGAAAACATCTACTAACTATGGGAGTAAATTGTGTGTAAAGATATCAAATATATTTTTCAAGTCCTACGTAGGTGAATTTGGAATAAGTGAAGAATGAAGAATGATTTAAAAATCGCAATCGACGAAGCTAAATGCCTTTACGCATGAGAGCTTAGCCCTAACATTGGAATGTGGATTCTAATTTCAAAATTTGCCTAAGCCGGAATATGCAAAAGCATACAATTTTCAGCTGAAAAACTTGCGTTATTTCCATTTCGACCTTATACTCTCTCTCTCTCTCTCTCTTTTCTGTGTGTGTGTGTGTGTGTGTGTGTGTGTGTGTGCGTATGACTGCGTGCTCCCATAAATGCGAATGTGTATTGGTTTCTGGCGCTTGCCGCTTTTTGCTTTTTTGGGCCGTTCAAAGTTTTGCCTTTGCTCGCTGTTTGTGTTTAATTATTTATGTGTGTGCTAGCGAGTGTGTGTGTGTTTGTGTGTGCGTGCATGTGTTTACATATGTGTTTTATGTTTTTGTACAAGGCGCTTACAAACTTTCCTGTTGGCGCTGTTGTTGTTATAGTTTTTTTTTTTGTTTTTTTGCGAGCCTGTGTGACGCGTATGCTGCGCTTGTTCATTTGAAATTTATATCGCAACTTGTACCGTTACACATATAAACACGTATAAACATATGAGCTTGTACTGGCGTATACGTCTGTATATCCATTCCTTGGCTAGTGTTGTTTGTCTTAGCGTTGACTTCCGTTTCCGGTTTGTAAGCAAAATGGCGCCAGCAGACGATTAATTATTTTGATATTTTGGCTAACTGCTACTGAGCCGATTGTGCGTAGCTGGGAGGCTAGACTGGTCGACGTGCCGCCATCAGAACACACGTGTCACGTTGCCAAACAATGGTGGCCAGCTACCACCAAGAAGCAAGGTCATTGTTGAAGGCATTTCCATAAATGGTGCAAACAAAACACGATACAAGAATATATCATATTATTCATAATGGCATGGTTAATCATCATGTTTGCTTCAGTTACATTGGCTGGCATCTTAGAGCCCTTCATGAGGTTGCTCGCAGCTATATCGATACATTTTCGATTTTTTTAAATCTAACAGCCTTAAGGATTGGTAAAGCGTCTAGCTTAGCATTAACTTTAATTATTTAACAATATTAATATGAATCAGTTTGTCTTTTCCTCTATTTGCGTAATTAATTAAATTTTAGAAAACTTGCAATTACATATTTAAATTATTGGATTAGGAATAGACACCACGAGCCACTTAAACATATCTTTTTAAACTTCCTTTGAAGTACAAAGGTATAATATTCAATTTCAATAGTTTTGAATTTTAAAAGCTTTTTTTAATGATTATTATTTAAAACCAAGTAAAAGCAATTTATTGAAACGTAAAAAGTCATACATAAATATACTTATTTAATAAGTGAGATGTATAAAAAAATGAGCTTAATAGTAATACATATGTGAATGTAGACAGAAAAAAACATAAAGCATATAAATTCGCAATTCACATGAAGCAAGGAATATTTTTGGACATGTTCGTCCGTACATCCATTTGTTTGTTAATCTGTTTAGGTGACAATAATACCAATATGTGCAGACTTTGCTCTGTAATAGGTAATAAAATAAATAAAAATGTATTATTAATATTTGTGTGTTTAAGATTCGTCTCCCCCTCTCCCACTACGAGTATATCCTCTATACTGTCCGTAATTCCGTAACTACATAAACTAAATCTACAGTCATTGATTGTCTAGCATTATTTTTTATTTTGTTTAAGTCCTTGAACATTTCGACTTCTTATTAGCTATAATTACTTATTTAAAAAAAATTATAATCAACATAGTATTGAATATTTGATATTGTTTGTAGTCTTAATGTTCCTCTGCACTCTGTTTGCTGAAACGAAATACATTATGACAAAGCGTTGAGTAGATCGAAAAAGAGAAAAGCTCCTTTAAAATGATAGACACATATTCTAAATAACTCACTCCTCCACTGCAGGGACTGACATCGACGTGGTTGTTATTGTTGCTGCTGATGATTTTTTTTTTCAAATTGTGCAAAACCTTTTGCGTATCAATAAAGCCATTTTCACACAGTTACACATATATACATGTATATACTTGGTAACACATACTCCTATACATCAATATACAAGACTATGTATGTCTTTATGTATGCGCGTCTGCGCCAAAAACCACAACGTAGCACTTTTTGGCACGTTAATGTGTTATGTGTATGTAGGTTTGGAGCGGCTCAGCCCAATTTTCAGTTAACATATACACGTACAGGCGCACACGTATGTAATTAATGATTGAACATACACTGGCACAGCAGAAAAGTATGCTACAGTTTTGGTTGTGGGCGCAAAATATGCTGCTCATTATTTTTACGGCTCACACACGCAAACGCACCCCCACCCTTAAACACGCACACACTTACACACACGCACATAAATTATGTTTTGGCTTCATTATGGTGGAGGGTCTCCTGACTGTGGTGAGCAGCGGGTTGAGGGTGCAGGTCGGTGCGCCACATTAAAAATCAATTCACAAACTTTGCACGTACAATGCCAAGTGCCAAACACACAGGCACACACACACACACACACGCCTCTGGGGCTGCTCATGTAGCGCGTGTGTGTGTTTGTGTCGGGTGTATGTTTGGCTTAGACATTGTGCATACGCCACGTGGTGTCTGTTACCACGGGCAAAATAAAAAACAAATAGATTTTTATGGGCTCTTGATGAAGCTGCCATAGGTAATAGCTGCCTAATCTCTAACTAACCTCTCTCTTTTCTCTCCCCCTCTATTTCTTTGCCATACAGCAGACGCAGCGCACAAGATGAAATGACAGGAGCTGCCTGGGGTGGCCCACAGTCGAGAGTAGAGCCAACAGAAAATGTTGCAGCAGCTAACAGCAGCAACCACAGGAACAACCGCTATTAATAAAGGGCAAGCTGGCCAAGCCTTAATCATTGGCAGTAGCAGTAACAGTAACAGTTGCAGCAACAACAACAATAACAATATCAACAGCAACAACAACAACAATAACAGTAGCAATAGCAACAACAATTGCCAGACCATAGACACCCTCATATTGGCCAACAATGGCCAGCGACGTCGCGTGGCTTCAACGGATGGTGGCTGCACATCCAGCAACAACAGCAACAACAATAATAACGGTAACGGCAGCAACAATAATAACAACAAAAATAACAATAACGGCAACAGCAACAGCGGCAGTAACAACAGAAGCAGCAAGCTAAACAAAATGCATTCCAGTGAAGAGCCACCCATGACGGTTGTCGTCGATCCTGGCCAGCAAAAGTTGCGCCGGAGTGGCAGCGCCTCAAAAAGGCTGCGCAAAACAAGTTCCTCAAGTGCCAAAGTGATGGGCACGCCTACACCAACGCCAACGCCTTCGCCTACACCTGCACCAGCCACGCCTACGCCGAGTGGCAGGCAGCAGCATCATATGGGTGACTCCTCAACGCGCCCACGACGCCAGCCATCGATCGCTTCCGATTCGGCGCAGAGGCGTCGTGTTGCCGGAAATTCTAGCCAGCAGGGGTCGCAGCCACAGCAACAGCGGCAGCGTCGACGGCGCACATCAAGAAGGCATAGTGCCGCATCAACGCCCAGTGGTGGGGCCGGCGGCGGCGGCGGCGGCGGCGTGTCTGCGGCCAGCTCTTCGACCGCCTCCAGCTGCAATGGCAGCTGCAGCTCCGACGACGGCGACTCGTCACATACGTCATCGTCTAGTTCGTCGGGGGAGCCGAATCTGCCATACCCGGGCTTTCCGGAGATCGCCATGAAGTCGCTGACGCAGGACACGCGGCCGCGCAACTGGTGCCTGATGCTCATCACCAATCCATATCCTTTGCCAAAACAAATAATTACCATAAATATTGCGCCATCACTTTATTATCCATATCATTTTTTAGTTATTTATGTTTTTAAACAATTTTCTGCGACATGGTAAGTAACAATTGAAAACACAAAGATACCAAATGATGTCAGTAGCTTGTTGATTTTAATAAGAAATGCTTAGACATAATCTACAACGATTTAAAAATATAAAACGCCATTTTCTATTATGCTAAAATTTGAACATTTGCGCGTTCCAACACGAGATTAATTTTATATTGACTGCTGCAACGGGTCCCTGTACTAAAAAAAGTCTCTTCCCGATGTCCCTAGACTGTGTAGGAATTAAGCAGTGTCATTGAAATTTCATAAATTTTTTTTGCAATCAAATAAATCACAACAAAGAAGCATAAAATAAAGAAGGACCATTTTATTAGAACTTCAAATTATTTCGATTCAAATTGTTTGCTATCGAGCTACACCAAAATGATTCGTGTCTAACGACAGCTCACGTTTTTTGTATCTTTTAACTTACACTTTTTCTAAACAAACATATAGTGCCTCTTCAGAAGAGTCGACATATATTTAAATGTAATAATGTACAAAATTCGATATGTTGCAATAAATACGCACATGAATCTGTCGAATCTGTCGAACGATCGATTTATCTGCATTGTTTTGCAGTACTGGTGACATCAGAGATTGATTCATTAGAGCTAAAGGTCCTGCTATTGTTTTAGACAGGTGCTTAAAAATTGAACAATTTCTACAGCACAGTATCAAATAAATTGCGAACATGATGCATTCCCCAGAGGTAGATGAGGGACACCCCCCCATTTCTCACTGAGTAGCTAGCTCTTGCCAGATTTTAGATCTCTTACCCATTTGGGCTGGCTAATTGACGCAGGCATGGCAGTTGCGTCCTTCGTTTTGTCAGTCGGCTTAATTTCGTTTCGTTTGCCCGTGCTGCTGCAAGCGGGTCCCTGGGCCCCATGCAGCAGGCAGCAGGCCTCGGGGGCGTTGTCATCTAACCAACGGACGCGTGCGTCCTTGTCATATATTCGTCGCTTGTTTTACATTTTTCACGCGAGCGTGGACGCGGACACAGACTCGGCTGTAAAAGCAAACGCAGCAGCTTATTGATTTTTGTACCGTCGAGTTTTCCGTATCTTTTATTATTTTGGTTATTTTTTTGATTTTTTGTCGATGCTACTGCAAAATGTATGCTTCAATGTCAGCAATTGCAGGTGTGTGTATATTATACTGTGTGTATGTGGGGTGGCGCATATACATACATATAAATATCAGAGCTGAGTTCTCAGCTCATCAACGGCGGCGACAGAACTCCAACCAAAGCCACGCCTCCGTTGCCGACGCCGTCAAAGCCATCACAGCCGTTGCGTTTGCATTTTTCTTCTTCAATTCATTTCCGTTGAGTTTTGCTTGTCAGTTGATACAACTATAGTTGTTGTTGTGTGTGTGTGTTGCGATTCCCTGCAGCCTCCTCCCCGCATTGGCTGGGGAACTGTCTCGTCCATTGCCTCGTCTGCTCGTACTTGGCAGCCATCAGTTGTTGCTGTCAGTAGTCGGATAATGTGGAGCAGCAGCATCAGCAGCAGCAACATCATCAGCCAGTCGACCACTCCACCAGATCTTCCATCATCTCCCCTCATTTGCAGTTTGCCGCCCAGCGCCTTCCAAGCGTTTGACGTGGCTGTCTGTGGCTACGACTGATGTTGCGTTTGGCATGTGCATGAAAAATCGCTTTGCATGCTTCTGGGCGCACTTCACATTTAATTTAACCTGAAATTAAAATTGACTGACGTTTATATTTATTTATATCACACATTAAACGCGTCAAGATATGCCAAACACTGAGCACTGGAGTGGAACTGGTGGTAAGAATTGGGGGTGGGGGTGGGAATGGAAATGGCAATGGCAATGGGCAAAGAATGCGAATGTATGTAAGTGCGAATGAAATGGGAAAATGGGAATAGCAATGAGGTCGAACGGTGGTAGATGGGGAAAGTGATAAGAGAAAAGCAGATGCAAAATTGCACGAATTAAAAACAAACAGCAAAGCGTTCGAAACAGTAATCGAAAATGGAAATGTATATTCCTTTAAATGATTTACAGCTCGAGAAAAATAAAATAAAATGCAACGTAGCTCCTCTTGCTTTTTTTGTGTTTGTATTTGTTGTCGCTTACTTTTATTAACTCGTGTGTATGTGTGTGTTGAAACGCATTGGGGAAGTGGAACTTAAACAAATACCGCAAATGTATTATTAAATGCCCAATCTTAGCTTTTAGCCAACTGAGCATTGACTTTAATGCGGTCACTTAAATATGTTGGAGCTTTAGTTATAGCAACGCATGCTGTAGATATACATATAACCTGCCTGATAACATTACTTATTACATTACTATTAGCACTAAACTAAATTGTGCAAAAGAGACTTTAAAGCAGACCATCCACACGGCTGCACAATTGCATTTGCTTATACAAGTATGTATGTAGCAACAAACTGAGTAAAATTTCCAATGCGTTATGTTTATTTTTGTAATCTTCAGTCTAATTTTTCCATAATTACGGCCCAGTTTGGGAGCATTCAATGAATTGGAGCAAAAATTCGACTGTGGATGAGAGAGAAAATGCGATAAAACAGTGTTAGAAAGTGTCGCTGCACAGAAAATACGCAGCACTGCTATCCGTCGAATAACTGTTCTGCTTTTTGTCGCATTTTAGTTTTAATTCAATAAATACTGCATTGTCTTTGCACAGCCTACGATATCTTTTATTGATTATTATGTGCAGAAAAAGAAATTAGATCGGCTTTGATATGTATTTAATTGGTTTATTTGTTTCAGGTATTGTCCGGGGACCTGAAATATTTCTTTCATTCCTAAACTTCCTTTTGTAACCTTGCTAGAGCTAGAGCTAAATTACGAAGAGCTGCATGGATTTGATACTGTCAAAAACAAAAGGGAAGTATTTTCCGCACCCCTACTGCTAACCTGTTTTGTCATAGCTATGCACTAACAGTGCCACACGCTGTGCACATACATAATTGCTCTCCCGACAATTGTTTGCTATAAAATTTGATTTGCTATTGTTCGTACCCCGCTCCCGGTCCTTAGCCGCACCTTGTTGGTGCGGTATTTTCAATATATGTATGTATATTTGCCATTTCTATTTTGCTGTTATTGCTGTTTACCAGTGTCTGTCAAACTTGGAGACCCTTGCCAGTGAGCATTGCTATGACAATTGTTGTTTATTGCATCGAAATGCAACGTTTTTCGGGGGAGGAGCGGGCCTCGATGCTTTAACACTTGACTGGGAAAAATCCAATTGCTGTGCATTTGCGCCATCATGAAAAGAAGAAGCCAAGGAAACTTTTGCACCATTATTTCGACTACATTTCCTGAGTGAGCAAAGGCGACGTCATTGCAAAATGCTTTCCCTAACTAATTTAAGTTCTTTGGCGTCATCGGCATTGGCATCAATGCCAAGTTGGTCAAGTTGCAGAGTTTGGCATTCTTATTATTATTATTTTTTGTGCTTTCATTTTAGCCAAGACCGAAACTGAGAATGTGGCTGAGACTGAGACCGCGACCGACTGAGGTCAACTGCACTATTTGCCAAAAATTTAAAACTAAAAACTAGTTTTTGTCGGTTGTAACTTGCGGTGCCAGCGAGGCGCGATGTGGCGGCGATATTGGCGTTTCGTATCGATGCCACCAATGGCCATCAAGTGGGTTGCACCCAACTCTCTGATAAACGGACATTTAGTGACTGACTGTGACGACTCCATCGACCACCTACTAAAACATTTCTTATACACAGGAAAGAAATGCACCCACAAAATGAATAGTCGATATTCGATTCAAGCTTGAAAGAATATCCTTCAAAAAACTCGGAGCAAGTATACTTGTATTTGAGCAGCGTAATTCATACTTCGGAAGCAGATTAAAAGGGATATATGTACATACTATATATGAAAAAGTAGACTGAAGCAATTCAAATAATTTGCACATAAATTGTTGTTCCTCAATACGACTTCAAAGTACATCCTAAAAAAGTCCTTTGTAGGGGAAAGCTGAGATGCTTGGCTACATTAGAAAATAATTTGTACTCGTACTTAAAATATTAAACTCCTATTTCGCCAGACATTCGGCTCGGCTTATCATACAACACTGCTACTCACAAACATCCTAATGATAATGGAACTAAGTCTGTTTAGTTATTAATATAGCAGTCAATATATTTGAGAATTCATCAAAGGTTTTAAATGGCACTGAGTTGGATTTCTAGAAGTTCTTTTATTGATCATATGTTGAAATCACTGTTTTAACGCATCGCGCATTATTTTATATTTTGGACCCTTTGGAAAAAGCTGTGCACGCCCTTGGGTATAGGCCATCAAAAGCTCAATATTAGATGCAATAGTAGTCTCGTGTGCTGGTGTTTTCGCCACTACATGGTCTGTCGCCCATTGTGATAATGCTAATCAAGAAGCCTTTGTTGGCTATAGGAGTCTAAGTTGAGTTGAAGTCAACGCTTAGCATTTTAGCAGGCAGTTGCAACCAAATGGGGCACACTCAACCATGCAACACTGCTGTCATTCTTTGCGACCGCAAATTCTTGTATCTCATGCCTGGGCCTTCGCGCATTTCACATTTGTGCCACGACCACGTCATGCACTAAAAACTTGTCGTCAATTTTACGGCGCTTTTGGCATGAAAAGTGCGCGGCACGTGCAACAAAACTACTTTGCGCGACAGTAGACACTAGACACTGTATACTATTCCATGGGGAGTGCAGTGAAAAGGGAGTAGTATATAGACAGGTTGGTGGATGATGGGAGGGGAGGGGGGAGGGGAGGGGAACCTGCACTTTGCAAAGTATGTTGCAACAGTTGGGGTGCTGTGCACTCTTCCATCGCTTATGCCCACGCGTTCATGTGGCATATGCCGAGCCATTAGACGCACATCATTAGCATACATTT